CTCTTCCGAATTGTAAAATATTGTGTTGGGTCCTAGCCTTAATATTTCATTTGGGTTTTATATTAAGGATTCTTATCTAATCTAAACTTTGTCCTTCTTTTTCAGATGTCTTCTAACACCGCTTCTAGCTCTTTCTCCCTCATGAACTTGTGTGGGAGGGTCATCTTTGATGGTTCGAATTTCAATGATTGGATTCGGAACATCAGGATGGTTACTCGTTACGAGGACAAGGAATATATCATCGACAAAGAGCTTAAGGAGGTTGATGAAGCCACTGCTACTCCAGAAAAGGTTGTTAAATTTAGGACACATGATAAGGATGCCACAAAGGTGTCATGTATCATGCTTGCCACTATGTCAGCTGAACTTCAAAAGTCCTATGAGGACTACTACCCTTTCGAGATGCACCAAGACTTGATGGAAAGATACCATCAAAGTGCTCGTCAGGAAAGGTATGAAATCATTGCCTCCATGATTACAACAAAAATGAAGGATGGAGATTCCATCACGACCCACTTGCAGAAAATGCAAAGGTTTGTAGACCGCTTGCTGAAGTTGAATGAAGAGTTGGCCATTTATATTATCCTACACTCTTTGCCTCCTTGTTATGATCAGTTTCGTATGACTTATCATATGAAAAAGGATTAAGTCACTCTTAGGAAGCTTCAAGGCCTTTTGAGAACTGCTGAAAGTAGTCTAAAAGGAAAATCTGTTGTATCTACTCCTACTCCTACTGCTGCTGCCCCAGTCCTGGCAATTGGACATGGGAAAGGGAAGAAGAGGAAGGCTCCTTCTAAGAGTCACAAGGGAAAGTCTCATGATGGATCCTCTTCTATTGGGACCAAAGCTGGTTCTGCTAATCCCTCTACCAATCCAAAAGAAGCAGAGTGCTTCTACTGTCATGAGAAAGGGCACTGGAAGCGAAGCTGTCCCAAATACTTGCAGGATGTCAAGGATGGGAAGATAAAGCCCACCCATGCAGGTATTTACACTATTATGTCTAATAACTCATCACATGCTAATTCTTGGGTCCTTGACATAGGTTGTGGTATTCGCATTTGTTTTGATATGCAGGCACTAAAAGGAAGTAGGGATGTGGAGCACGGGAAGATAAACTTGATCATGGGGAATAGGAAAATGTTGCATGTCACCAAGATTGGAGTCACTACTAGAAAAACATCCTTTTACGATGCGTAATGCGTGTCGTAAAACGCTCAGACGTCGCGTAAATGCGTGTCAAGGAAGGCCCTGTCATAACGAGAGACGACACGCTTTTGCGCGTCATCTATAGACGTCACGCATTTACGAAGCGCATTTACGACACGCAATGCGTATCACAGAAGGCCGTGTCATAAAGGAAGACGACACGCATTTGCGTGTCGTAACCTTACGACGCGCGTTTAGGACACGCATTGCGTATCATTATAGCCCCTATCATAAATGAAGATGACACGCATTTACGTGTCATAAACTTCAACAACCATTTACAATATGCATATACGACTTTCCTTTACGATACACTTTTACGCATAATACAAAAATATAGAAAATATATATATATATATATACCAAAACAATCAATTTCATCCAATAACATCATGTCAAGTGAAGATATCCGAAGTTCTAAATATACATTTACAAGTGAAGAAATCCAAATCCAAATCCCGATTCCAAACAACACGTTTCCTCTACGAACTAAGAGAACAGCCCTGAAGAATGTCCCATTGCTGCCACCATCACCTGTGGTAGCAGTGTTTCCTAACACCTGAGTTTAGTTTCATCAGCATCATCCAGTTTAGATACATACTCAGCCATCTGATCCCACTCCCCCATGTTCCAAGAAGCATTAGCAGCCTGAGCAAAGGACAAAATGGTAAATATTATTGCAAAAGAAATCAAAGATGCTTGAGAGTTGAGAGAGATATAAATTATGAGCAGACCATTGGTGCCATTTCTAATCGAGCAGTTGGCTCAACAGGTGTACATCCAAACGTGCTGTTGAGCATAGGTCAATATCCCAACTGCAGCCTAAATTAATATATATGTCAGTACTCCATAACATAGATGCCAAAAATATTACAAAGACTATGTGGGTAGATGATATATGTCAGTACTCCATAACAAAAACCAATTATAGGGTCAGTTTGGTAATTTTAGTTGCTACTCTAATTATTCACTGATTAACACACCTGGGACTATTTGTGGTGATAACAGTGAAGCAAAAAAAAAGAGTCCAAGTCCCTCCAAATGGAATAGCATATACCTGGTTTGGATAATATCTGGATGGGCCTAATTACATAATCGTTAACAACATTAAGCATCTGCTTATAACGAAAGTAGATACCATTTTCACAAAAGAGTTGCCTTTATCCAACAAATTGTTAACATGTCTCAATGTTTAATTTGAAAGAAAAAATCTTTATGAAGAAACTATCTATTGATTAATTTTCTACCCTAAAGTTCAAAATTACATTTCTACCCTAAAGTTCAAATCTAAAAATAAAATAATTCAAAATTACATTTCTCCAATAGGTCCTGTTTTTGTTAGGAAGTTGCAGGCATTACCTTTCCACAAGTTACAGTAAAGGCAAACATGGAGGAGCAGAGTAAACCCCTATGGAACTCATCTACATTTTCTGTAGAGGTGAATCGAGGCAGCAAATGCAAATCAGCACCACTTTCTGCTTCTGCTGCAAGCAGTAATATGAGGCAGTCATCTGCTCGAAAGCTGAATACATATGTTCTCCCAACACTAACATCACAAAAAAAAACAAATAACAATGACAATAATTTGTGGCATTCATCACCTTTAGTATCCAGCCACAACTCAGGACCAATTCATCCATCAAACACACAATCAGCACTAAGAAAACCCACTCCACTACCGTCTCCAACAACAAGTCAAATTAATCATCATCCAAGTGTTAGTGCCAAAAAAATCAAAAGATATTGTTGCTACTTTTTTTTTTTATAAAAGTGGTTCATCAATTTTAACGTGTTGGGAGGAGAGCAATTAGGTAAAAGGATTGAGAAATTCATACCCATGCTTATCTTAGCAAACTTGGTTTGGAACAACTGTACAATAAAATATAAATCATCATAAGACTAAATGACTATCTTACCCTTACATTGAAAAGTCAAAGTGTGGATTTAATATGAAACATGGGTATGACTGTATAAAAAACGGACCTTGAAGCCAGTGTTACCTGGATTGAAGTAGAATCTCTCCTGGTATCCTGAAAAAAAACAAAGGGACTATTTATTTTAATTAAACTTACATAAAAATTAAGAGATTTTTTCTTATTTAATAAATGATATGAATATATTAAACCTGGTCCATCTAGGCTGTGGGATTTTCTATATATTCCAAGAATAGTTCCAACAGCATCAATTATGGCTACTGAGTTGTAATGTGCATTATTTGCTTCCCCAAAGAAGCTCACAGGTATAACAACTCCCAGTAAAAGTAATATTTTTCACCTGAAAAAAAAGTGATTAAGATTTAATGATATGGTTTGTTAATGGTAAATAAAGTTAAAGCCAATTATTCCAATAATAGCACTCGACATCAAAGCAAATTGAATTACATGTATAGGCAATCCAACTCCTAGTCTAGTCTTGATATCAAATAATATACTAGGGATTCCATCCCAATTCATTTCTATCTTCATTCTTATTCCTTCACCTGCATCTTCAATGATAGAAACTCCTAAAAAATAAACAAATAATAATCAAGATTCAAGAAAATGTGGAATCATCTTAAGCAAGCAGAGAACATAATCAAAGAATTATGAAACATCAAAACAAATGAAGGGATAAATGCAAATGGTAAAACAACACCATCAGTTTATATTGTTCAAGATTTGGCTCCACACTAGCCTTTATACGCTCAGATGAGGCCTACAAGATAATCCAAAATCCAATTTGAATGTCAAATGCTTTCAGTTTCATCTTCAAAATAATTAATGAATGTTGTATACATTTTTTTAAAATAACCAAACCCTAAAAAATAGATTTTCAAGATCACATACGATAGTATTGTTAAAGGTCGGCAACACAAAGTTCAGTCAAGAACTGTGTTAACTTTTTTTTTGAGAGAATCGTGAAAGAAATTAAACCCTAAATAAATGCAAGCCTACATGGGTTTACAGAAAGGATTAAAATACCTGGAAAAAAGTACAGAGCATGAGGCTTCCTTAAATTTTTTCTTCTTCCGTTGTCGCATAATGCTATTAGGGTTTCATCTACAATTTATTCTTGAACAACTTCTACTTCCTTAAATTTTTTCAAATCAAAGTTGTTTGGTGAGGGCTATGAGGCTAGAAGAGGCGGTGAGGGTTGGAGACGGTGGAGATGGGTGAGGGGCGGAGATGAACGAGGGGATATGTGAGAGAACTGATGGAAAAAAGGTAGAAGAGAAGCTCATGAGTAGTTGTAGTAGGTGGAGTAATGTAGAGGGGAAGCGGATTCGGGACACAGTCGCTGGTGCTGATGAGTCTCAATGGTCGGCGATTAGAGGTGAGCCTGCGGTCGCCAACGAGGTGAGGTGAGACAGAGCAAGGTAAGGAGAGGCTAATCAAGTCGTCGATTACAAAGTGCTCGTGTGGAAGGAGTGGTGTGTAGAATCATGCATATGAAGGCGCTGAAGAAGGTCGATGGAAGACGAAGGCGTTGAAAAAGATGCGACGTTGGCGGAGGATCGACGATGGAAGAGGGTTGACGACCAGGAAAGAGCACAAAGTGGTGGTCGGAGTGTGAGGGGAGTAGTTAGCGGTCGATGTGGGGAGGGGAAAGAAGTATCACAGATTATGTTTAGGGTAAAGAGGGAAGTGAAAGCGGGCTTTTCTAATTTTTGGGTTTTTCTTTTTCCCGCTTATTACTAAATAGCACGTTTCATTAAAAATTATAAAGCGACATGTTTAGATGACATACATTTTATAATAAGTGCCCTCCGTGTTTTTTTTATCTAACACTAATTTTAGGGCACGCAAAAATGCACGTCCTAAATCCTTAAAATTTCTAGAGAGCTAACATTATTTTTAGGTCACACGCTTTTGCGTATCATAAATCAGTGCGTATCATAAATTGCGCGTCATTAAAGGTCTGTTTTCTAGTAGTGAGTTTACTCTTTATTGCTTAGTAATGGGTTAGAATTAGATTTAAATAATTGTGGCTACTCGTCCGATATGTCGAGAAACATTATTTCCTTTCATGGTTTGTACAAACAAGGTTTTGGATTTTCATTTGATAATGAAATTGGTTCTATTAATGCTTTTTATAATGGTGTATTTTATTTTAAAGCATTGCCTTGTAATGGTGTATATGAAACTGTGATGGTTATAGACAACTTAGAAAATAATGTATTGCATATTGATTCGTCCAATAATTTGGACAAGGCATGCTTGTGGTATTGTCGTCTTGGACATGTCAACAAGAAGCGCATAGGCCAACTCCAAAAGGCTGGTGTGTTGGAGTCATTCGACTTAAATTCGGATGACACTTGCGAATCTTATTTGCTTGGAAATATTACCAAGTCACCTTTCACTGGTACTTGTGAGAGGGGTGAGGGTTTGTTGGATCTCATACACACCGATGTATGTGGACCCTTCAGATTCGCCACAAGGGATGCTAACCGCTTCTATGTGACTTTTAGCGATGATTACAGCGGATATGGCTATATCTACTTAATCAAGCATAAGTCATAAACCTTTATAAAGTTCAAAGAGTTTAAACAAGAAGTGGAGAATCAATTGGGCAGGAAGATAAAGATGCTCCGATCCGATCGGGGTGGTGAGTATCTTAGTATCGAGTTCCACGACTATCTTAAGGAATGTGGAATTATTTCATAATTGACGCCACCCAGGACACCACAACTTAATGGTGTGGCTGAGAGGCGCAATCGAACCTTGTTAGACATGGTTCGTTCCATGATGATTCGAGCTTCTTTACCTATCTCATTCTGGGGGTACGCCTTAGAGATTGCCACCAATATCCTTAATCTAGTCCCTACTAAGAAGGTTGCCAAAACACCTCACGAGATGTGGACAGGGAAGGTTCCCTCGTTAGCACACATTAAGGTTTGGGGTTGCGAGGTTTTCTTGAGGTGTGAGACTCACGACAAGCTCGAACCTCATACTGAGCGTTGTATTTTCATCAGCTACCCACAGAAGTCTTTTGGATATCTCTTCTACAGACCGAGTGACAATGTTGTCTTTGTTGCGAGGAGAGGGGTTTTCCGCGAAAGAGAACTCGTATGCCAAGAGGATAGTGGGAGGCAAATTGACCTTGAAGAGCTTCAAGAGTTAAGTGATGAAGGAACCTCAGACACTAGCGCTCAACCTGAGGAGAAAAATCTTGTTGAACCAGTTCATGAGTCCTTACCTCTGAGGTGTTCTAGTAGAGTTAGTGTTCCACCTGTGTTATATGGTTTCCATATTACTACACATGGTGATACATTTATCAGTGATAGCACACTGGTAAATTTGGATGAACCTAACAACTACAAGGAAGCCATGGCAGGTGTGACATCCCTATTTTTACGGCCAGAAAAGACCGATTTCGTTTATGCTTTTTAATAAAAATCAGAATAACTTCTTAATAAAAGTGTTGCGGAATTTGTTCCCAAAATAAAATATGATAAAAATTTAGCAAAGCATTTCTTAAAGAAATGTATTTTCATTACATTACAAAAACTCGGGATGTCAATCATCGATACAGATCATAAGCATAAACCAAAAACCTCATGGGCCACAAAACTAAATTTGCCCTCAAAACAACATAGGTCTTTCTACTGGCCTAAAATCCGTAATCTCTCATTAAGTCATCCAACTATGATTTTGCCACTACCTGTAATACAAGAAACTGAGTGGGTCAGGCTGCGGAGCCTGGTGAGCATATAGGGTTTTCAACCCACAATAAATAACTTTATTATTTTCAACAATCATTAAACCCGATTACCCGTTCCCGTTATCCTCACCTTACGTCCCTAAAGCATCTATCATAAGGGACCTATCCTAAGGAATTTCATCGGGATGGACACTACTTCTAAGGGGATTCCTCAGCCATACGTGTCCATAAGGCAACCATGGGGGGGATGGAGTACACCGGTGAACACATCGTTCACAAACACCTACAGGTTGCGAGCCTGCTAGCGTTCCACTGGACTTCCTAGAAAAGTCTGTGGTCGTCATCCATACTCCGGTAGATGACTGGATCAACGTAAAAATCGATGCCTCTCATCATTTTATTTCACCACACACCAACTATTTTATCTACCCATGTTTTACCCAACATATAGTTCAGATCTGGACAACAAATTTTAAATCTTTCATACATCATAGATCTCAAAGTATAAAACATATGTATACAGTTTAGATCTGAAAAGTTTAGATCTGAAGTGAGAAAGTCTAGATCTGAAGGAAAAGGGGTCAGATCTGGAAGAAAAGTTTAGATCTGAAAGAAAAAGTTCAGATCTGAGAAGAGAGAGGTTCAGATCTTTCGTCTAGCATAGATCCCAAGTAAACAGATAATATTTATACACATAGCACATAATTTATATAAAATACTTCATATCTATGTGTAACATGAAAGTGAATATACACTCACCTGATAAGGAGTGATTCGGACATCACTTCGATTCTTAAAATAATCTTCTTTGTCGAAACCGTGAAGATTGTTTGAAAACCGGGCTCTGCACGGGTAGAGTTTCAAACCGAAAAACTCTTTTTCTCGGAGACTCCGGGCTCTCCGAGGATTTCTCCTAGAGCTAGAAAGGTTCCATAGGCTTACGGGGGGGGGGGGGGGTTGGGATAGGCTAGAGAGATGTTAGAGAGAGAAAGTAGAAGTGAATTGGTGAGAAAAAGTGGCAGCCCTCGGTCCCCTTTTATAGGCTGAGAAGCCTCGGTACACTGGGCGTTCCTGCGAGGGTATGCGTGGCATACCTCGTACGCAGGGCATTCTTGGTCTACGTTGCACGTTCGTACAGCCACGCATCCGAAGTCTACTGGGGCTACGTGGTCACCTCCGGAGCCAAGTCCTCGCGTACGCGGGGCGTTCCCTCTCTAGCGCGGGGCGTTCTTCGGCCAGCTCGTAGATTTCCTTCTCGAATTCTAAAATTTATATCTTTCGCATACGAGCTCCATTTTTGAAGTTCTTTATATCCACGGGTAGGCGAGACTGTACTCTACAACTTTCGTTTAGATTTCGTCGGCTAATTTTGACTTTATTTTTAAAGTTTTATTTTTAACAGGCCGGGACAGGAATAGTCCGTTAAAAATTCATAACTTCTTCATCCGGCGTTTGTTTTTGTCTGTCTTTTTACCGTTACGTTACTATTAACGA